ACGAATGCAAAATAAGAGGAAAAAGTTGCTTATTTTTTGCATGTATGCATAGCGCTATTCAGCATTTTCCGAGCTTGAAAGTAAAATCTTGAATGTAAAAGAAAACTGGAACTCAGACACGAAGCCAAAATGTATGTAATACGAATAATGGAAACCGAATATGGATTCTGGCATTAATACTTCATTTCTGCGAGTTTTATAGCCACCTGAGTTAGCTCGCATTGCCATACCTGATTCACATAATGCAGCTGTCGGGCCATGAGATCCCTGCAAATATGTGCAGAGACGAAGACCACACTCAAGATAGGCTTATCTAAAAGATACTGAGAACTAATTTGTGAGATCCCAGATGCTGGGAAATTTGAAATCGATGACACTAACGATGGCAGGGGACGAGAAAAAGTATATTTGTCCCTTCTGTCGAGAGGACGAGCTACATCTTCTGATCCGATGCCATGGCTACGCAGACCTGCGACTCACGCTCCATATCTCCTGGAGAAGGAAACCCAGATTGTCTCCCCGCTGACACGTTGAGGCATGTGGCTGACTCGCCACATGTGGGGGAATCTAGCATTATTTACAAGGAAGGCATTGGATCGGAGAAGAGCCTTCACGGATCAAATTGAATGACGATGGCTGTATTCATGTAGTCTCCAGTCCTATGGTCAAGAGGAGGTTCCAACCCTCCTGGAGGCGGGGACCCAATCCCAGGCTCCCAGTCCCAATCCTATGCAGGTTTTAAAGTGTATTGCCCCCCTCTTGTGATTGAAATCATTTCCGTTGTTCATGAAGTGCTTCTCATTTATTATTATTATTATTTAAATATTCACGTATTATTATGATTATCAAAGTCCATTTCAAATCCAATCCAGGAATTCGGCACAACAACGTTGTGTCGACGTTGAAAAAAGGTTGATGGCAATGTTGCCTCAATGTTGAGAAAAGGTTGAATTTTCAATGTAACATGTTGCCATGATGTTGCCACAATGTTGAAATGAAACACTGCTCAACGTAGAAAAAAAGTTGATGCTGTGCGACGTTGTGTCAACGTTGAATTTTCAACGTAAGGGCATTATAGTACCTCCTCCCTATTCCAGGGTTTGATTAATGAGCTTTGATTGTCGGATGAAAATGAATATGGACTCGATAATTTCATAGTTGGTTCCCAAGAGGTATGATACTAGCAGTAATCTATCGAGTACAATCATCCAGTGTAAAGGACCCTCAGAGTTCTATTTCTTCTACTGAATGAGAATTCACATTGAATACTTGCATGACTCAAGTACCTCTCAGTCCAGTAGAGGAAAACAACCTCACGGGCATGGTTTTTATACTTTATAGTAAGGCCGTGTGCCAGGTGGAGATTTAGGAAAATTGAGCGTGTCTTCTCGGACCCACTAGCCAGAAGTACTTTGGGTCTCCTTTTGCCTGATTACCTCCTTAAACATATCTATCTAGGAATTCCTATACCTTCCCCTATGCTGTAAATGGGAAAAGATTGGGTACAGTTTGAAAAAACGCAGGGTACTGGTTATTTAAAGGCATCAGGATAAGAATCGCGGAATTGGCGGTAATGTGCCATCTCGCATCGATTTGTAGAACCTATTTTCTGTTGATATAATGTGGATAGCTCCACGTAAAAACAACATTGAGAATACGATTTTTTTTTAATTTGCTCCTAATAGCCTCTGAACGACTTCCCTAATTCACGAGTAGTCACCAAATGCTGAAAATACGGTAAATTATGAATAGCCTTCGACGAGAAATCAACATCAATGAAATCATTGATGTTGATTTCTCGTCGAATTCTCAACTTCAACCAAGTCTCAACGTTTCAATCTATTCTCAATGTTGATACAACGTTGTTGTGCCGAATGGGACCTTGTATAAGGTCGCGGAAGGATAGGAAAGTGGTGCGCTCCCAAGCTGATGACAAAGAAATTCCAAATTCAGGGGGAAAAATATTTGGCATGAGAGGAACTGAATAGAGACATTCAACCGAGGAAGGAGAAGCAGAAGGAGATCTTGGAAAGGATATTCAGAGTCGAGATGAATCTGAATAGTATGGTGGAGTCAGATTTCCTTGAGAATTCTTAGGATTGAGAATGAATGCAGCAAGAGTGAAGGTTGTCGGAAGATGCACATTTGAGGCAGAGAAAAGGGTGGTGGAGCTGGGGTGGAGCAGGAGACATTGACATGTCCATGACCTGACATTACCTCCCCCAAACAGTGGCTTAGCGAGGGGTTTCAAGGCTTCAACCCCCCCCCCCCCCCCCCCCCCCTTGAATCAAACTTGGGCCCAACTCTGGTCGGAATGCGCCCGCCCCACCCCGACGAGAAGTTAGCCTCCCATTGACGAAAACCTGGCTACGTCACTGCCCCCAAAGGGGAAGTCGAGGATGATTTCTGGAACAAGTGAAGGGCAAGCACGCTTTGCATGACCTGCCTTTTTGCAGTGGAAAGAAATCAGGTCACCAAATGAAAGGAGGATTCTGTAGTTGCGATTGTCATATGAAATGCGGATGGAGGAAGGGAGGGCATTCTCTTTCACGCTGAGTTGAACAAAAATATTCCTCCTGAAGGACTTGATATGCTGAAGAGAAGGATTCCTCAATGATGCACCCATGATTGAGAAACTTGGAAACATGAATGTGGACGGTGGAATCAAATGTGTACAGGCTTCAAGGTGTTCTTCAAGGGAAGAATTCTCGACTGCACGAAAAACGACGGCATTTTTCCTTGGCAGACGTGCATTAATAAAATTGGACGAGACATGCCTCTAGGTCGGTGTTCCCCAATCCTTTTATTTCTTATACATGAACACGGCACTCCCATCCATTTACTTCCTTTCCATGGGAAACTTGAGCTTGCTTCGCTGAACATGGCAGTTTGATACAAGGCGTGGTAGTGGAACTCTCAGCTCGTTTTCCACTGAGAGTTGGCGGAACGCCTTTTAAGCTCTTGCTTTTAAGTTTTATTTTTTTTAGTTACAGTTTCTCAGTTTTTTGTTGTTGTCAACTCTCAAATCTCACGGCACACTTAAGCCTTTCCGGCGGCACACCAGCGTGCCGTGGCACACCGTTTGGGAAACACTGCTCTAGAGAACAAGCTGTGCATGGATGAGGAAGAATGGAGGGAGAGAAGGGGGGGGGGGGGAGGGATCAATGAACATTAGCAAGAAATTCAGAACAAAATATCCCATTCAAGGAAAACAAAATAATGAATAAGAAGACATGAAAATCAGGCCAAAGAACTTGAAAACCAATACTAAGAGGGGAAAAAGGGACAGTCCATTGTGAGCATTAAAAGGTCTCGCAATCCCGAACCATTATGAAATAGGATATAAAAGCTAACTTAGTCGGAGCATGAAGATATTAAGAACAATGATGAGAATGCCAGAAAGAAAGAAAGAGGAACATGCCAAAAAAAACGGGCGAAAAAAAAATTAAAAGAAACAATGAAAAACCGAGCGAGGGAAAGGGAAGCCACCTTGGCAATCGGCCATCTTGAAAGCGGCAAAGTTTGTTTGAATGTTTTTTTTCTGGTTACTTTTTCAACCTATTTCGTCCTGTGTTCAACTTGATAGTTTTTCCTTGCTGGAGCAGGAGGTACATGTGAGTAACGTCCATGTCACTCAGCTGAAGTTGTTGCAGCAAACTTGGAAGGACATCATGTCTTGTTTGGGTGGGGTTTAAATTTTCTTCAGGGGGAGGGGTCACTGGAGGAGTGAGGCCCGGGGCAAAAGTCCCCTTTGCGCCCTCCCCCCCTAATCCGGCCCGTATATTTTTGAAACCTTACTCTTGTTCGAACACTGGGACTGAACAACTAAACTCCACCATGACGTCATGATGGGGAACATGGCTACCCCCCTGTAGCGCAGCAAGTTCAAGCAAGTCAGACACAACCTTATGAAATTAACAGGTCACTGTTAATTTCGTAATTATAGTATAGCTGAGTTCGGAAGGAATATGGGTCTACGGTTTTCTCACTTAACTTGAACAGATCAACCTTCTTCTAACTGCCACCACCATGACACTAGGCCTATGCAACCTAGGAAAACATTGCCATCTCCTTCTTCCCTTAACCCTAAACCTAAATCAAATCAATGTATCCTGAAATTTAATCAGATGGCAGATACTTTAGTTGATTGTAAACCCTTTTGAAAGGGTGAATTCAGCTATTTAGCTGCTTTTTAGCGAACAACTCATGTATGAAATGATGCCAATTTTTTTCAATTTTCTGTAACTGGGGCAAATATGGGAGTGAAATTCAAATATCTCTCATTCATCCAAAAGAGGATTGGGAAAAGGAGAACCATTCATGAAATTGTTGATGGAAGTTCAAAGAAGAAATGATCCCTTGTGGTTTGTGTGGCTAAAAATGTGTCTTATGCAAGTCATATGGTGCAGGGCTTGAATGGATAACCTTGTGCATGCATCCGTGCATTCTTTGCATTGGGTGTCTTCCCCACACTGTTTTAAAAACATATGCAATCTTAAGCTCCACATCATGTTTCTTGGTCACAAAAGGCATGTTCTTTCTCAGACATGTTTAGTATTCAGCATTGACATTTTTTCTTGCCTATTTCTAATCATTCTTGGTTAATTAATAACAGCATTGAATCACTTGGTATGGTTTATTTTATGCATCCAGTTCTATTCCCCAATGAATTTTTCATCATCATTGTCCCAGTTGTTTCCTTCTATCATTCTGCTAAGGGACACCAAGGAAAGTTCGGGATATTAAATAGGCTGTGCTGTAAATATGAAGGGATCCAACACTGTAGATCAGAAACTTGAGTTTGTAAACAATTTTGCTGATTCCAAAATGATTAACACTCCTTTTGATTGCAAAGTTAATGCAAACCTTCACCTAACATTGGGCCTATTCACAAACTCATCTTGTTGGCAACACGATAAGATCTGTCTGCCTTGCTCTGGTGATGTACAGTGGGGAAACCCTAGTTCAACCAAGAGCTGTTCAAACAAATTAACTCTCTGCTTTTCAGGTAGTGCTGGAACCTGTATTAACATGGAAGTTGCCATTTCCCTATAATGACATTCGGCAAGTGTTTGATTGGCTGTTCTGGTCCCAGTGCTTGAACCCAAGTAAGGTTTCAAAATATGCATCCGGCCCTGGGTCAAGGGTATTTCTAAACTCTACAAATTAAATTTTGCAGGGCCATCACTGGGCAACAAATGAAAGGGTAAGAAACATATGTTTCTTCCCCTTTGATTAGTAAAAGTGTAAGCTGCAAATTTAATTTTTCATGTGGCATATGAATGCTCTCATCACATGCATTAGAAGCAAAAGCAGGTATTAGTTGACAGTTTCTCTCCTTCCAACATGTATAGGTCATATAGTCTGGGCTTACATATTGGTCCAGCTTTCAAAATATTTTCTGCCTCATCTGTTGGGAATGAGACAGACACCTAGACCTCAGAAGATTGTGCATCAACAGTAGCAGCTCATGATCTACTGCAGACGGAATTAGTCAATGGAGGCAGGGTGGACAGTGCCTATTTGTCTCTATTGAAGAGCTACTGTTGTAGGTCGTAAGCTGCCCACTGTGCATCAGCATAGCTGTAGGCTATCTATAGACTTTGAATCTTAGTCCAATAGACTTATGCTGTTCAGGACTCATAAACTTCATTTTAGCCATTGCCTCAATCTTTGTTTACTCTCACATAACAATAAACATGACAAGCAAAGTGTCTCTATTGATTTTTGTGTGCCATTCTTGTTCTATGTACTGTTCTAATCTCATTTGTGGTATCGTGCAGCAGGCTGAAGTTTGGATCTGATGAGAATAGACCTATAAATCACCATGTAACATAGATGTACAAAACATACTCTCACAAAAACAAATTAATAGAAATGCCAGAGCAGAGGCAGACTTCATTCTCAGCTGCCTTTCTGGAGCAGGAATAATTGATAGCATGACCAGTACAAGATGGGAGAATGCTACATGGAGTTCACAGGGTTCTGTTCAGCATCTGTCTTTAGCCTCTCCAGGAAGTAGCAGTCAGACTTCAATGTTATCATAGAGTGAAGCAAATAAGTCTCTTGAGCCTTCACTTGGTAGTGCCTCATACCTAGGTGGCTCTCAATCACCAGGAGAAAATATCCAAGATCCCAGTAGTCCTGGAATCTTGAGGCAAAGATTTGTGAACTTGGCTCTTGAGAATAATATAACTAAAAAAGCTGTGAAATAAATCCTGGAAATCTTTAGACCTTTTGTCCCCTCCTTGCCGAAAGATGCCAGAACACTTCTGTAAACAATGAGGCAGAGTGGAGTGCGTTCCATGGGTAATGGGAAGTATGCCTACCTGGAACTCACTGCTGGCCTTTGCCAGAATTGCAGATCTTGGCCAGTAGAGAATGATTCAGTTGAAGTCTTAATAAATATTGTTGGCCTACCTCTATATAAGAACTCAAAATATGAGTTCATCCTCATGCTTGCTGTCATAAAAAATGACCAACAAATCAGGAGGCCGTTTGTTGTTGCCATATATGCTGGTGAAGGAAAGCCCTCTGTCCATGACTTCCTGCAAGATTTCATAGATGAAATAAATTCCCCGTATCTGTCTGGCTTTCAGAATGGAGCAAATGCATATATGCTTTTGTTTGTGATGCTGTGGCTAGGGCATGGTTGAAACAAATCAAACCTCACAATGGTTATAGCTCATGTGAAAAGTGTGAGGAGGAAGGAGAGATAATTGACAGGCAAGTGACTTTCCCTGGCACTAATGCCCACCTAAGGGCAAATGAGTGCTTCTGGAGTCGAAGAGATGAGGAACATCATATTCCAAATGAAGTGTCTCCTCTGGAGCAGCTCCCAATAGCAATGATCACTCACTTCCCTTTAGACCCCACGCACCTTCTAGATCTTGGTGTCACATGCAGATTGATAACATCTTGGACTTCCAGGAAGTTTGCGAGTTCGACTTCCAGGAACACAGAGACTGCGAGTCTCAAGACGGCTTCTTTGCACGAAGAATCGCTTTCCCTAGGAATTCAACTGCAAACCTCGTGGGTTAGATATGATTAGGATGTGGAAAGGAACTGAATTTTGCAGTTTTCTTTTGTATACAGGTGTCCTTGCTCTTCATGGAATATTGAAGAAAGACTTATATGAGCACTTTCTTCTTCTCCATGTTGCAACTTGGATACTGAAGAGTCCATTGACATCTTCAGTGCTTCTGGATGAGGCAAGGGTATTTCTCACATGCTTTGTTCACCAAGCATGTCAGCTATATGGTCAAAGGATTGCTTCTTATACTGTCCATTCAGTGCATCACCTTCCTGATGATGTTTGAATCCATGGGGCACTTGAAAATTTCAGTACTTTCCAATTTGAGTCACTTTTGACATCCATCAAAGGCCTAATTCGCACTCCTACCCTTTCGCTCGAGCTAGTTGTGTTGCAGCTTCATGAACAGGAATACCATAGACCGATGACAGAGTTATCCAAAAAGCAGCAGGAACTTGAACCTTGTATGCGAGAGCTCTAAGAGATGTTGAAAAACTTCTGTATAATAAGTTTGAAGTTGTCATTGGATCTCAAAAGGGTGATGGATGTGAACTGATGAATGGAATATTTATGAAAGTAGATGCCATTGAATTCACAGAGTTGGGGAAACCACTCCTGCATGGAAGAGAAATAAAGAAACTGTTCCATCCTGTTTATACTAAACCCCTGAATTCCATTAATTTGGGCATTTGTTTTGTCAGAAAACGTTTTCAGATTTTATGCTCCTTCCTGCCTCTTGAGTCACCAAAAAACTTATTTTGCTGCCATCCTTTCAACCCCATGGAGTGGTTGCACTGCCATTAGATGTGGTTTAATTTTGCTGACATGTGCTCTGCTATAACTTTATAGAAAGTTCTAGAATTTCAAGAAATTTATTTAAATGGTCCTACCTGCATTTATGGCATTATTTGCAACGATTGTCTACATGATTAGAGTTTCGTATCCAAAGATGTATATACGTTTCATATTCCTTTACACCGTTCGATGTAATTAAAGTAGTAAGACTTTCGGTAATCGTAATCTCCCTATCAAAAACTGACACGTACATCTTCTCCTCGGTAGCCACTGATATTGCGCTCTCACCCAGACAAGTCAGAATTCAAGGGTTTTTTGGTGAAATTTCACCATTCATGATGTCACAGACAACCCAGTATTGCATTGTATTTTTTCCTGGATCAAGTGAAGTGGAAGTTGTTCCCAAGACTTGGATAAATGGAGGTCATTGCTCATGGCCGATAGGAAAGTGTGACAAATCAAAGCTAGTGAGGAAGGCTGTGAAGCTGATTCATCCTGGGCTACATTTCCAGTTGTCATCAAGAAAGACCTATGGTGAGAAAACATTTTAATCATTCAGACTCAAGTGCCTAATATGGTCCTCATTTCCATGTAACTACCTGGGCTACATTTCCAGTTGTCATCAAGAAAGACCTATGGTGAGAAAACATTTTAATCATTCAGACTCAAGTGCCTAATATGGTCCTCATTTCCGTGTAACTTCTTTTTATCAATTAATGTCATCAGTGACTGACCCAATTCAGACACAATTGACCATAACATGGTGACTATAAATAGGACTCAGGAGTTAACAAATCTTCCACCAAGATTGAAAATCTGGTTTATTTTCATCTTCAATTTCCCCCATTTTGCTTACCCATGGCTAGACATTCACAAACATTTTTTTAATATTTAAAACGAGGACTGGGACGGACAGACAAGGACGAATGCCACAAGCAGCCAATAGGTACATGGAGAAAAGGGGTTCTAGATTGGACATCCCTGATGGCATTGCCACAACTATCCACGCTCTCTATCTCTGTGTATCCCGTTTTCATGGGCCCACGGCAACTTTGATGCAGTGTAGGCTTGAATACCTCCCATCACTGCACATCGGGCCACCAGGGCCGTATACAGCCCACGATAACTCCGGGTGGTTTGAGGATGGGGAGTGTGTTACCTCGTGCCTCACCGGATACGAACTTGGGTTCCCCCTCGTCCATCATGGGCTTTCGTCGGCCCACCTGACAGCCGGGTTGAGAATACCGCCTGCCGCCGGTTGGAATCGAACCTGGGCCTCCCGCGTACTATTCCAAGCCCCTACTATTCCACGGAGCCACGGTGACGCGGTTATTCACAAACATATTAGTTCAGCATTATTTTAATGCATGAAATGTGCCATAAAAATTTTTTAAACCTATTATTAGCTCAAATGGGAGATGAATTAACCACAGATTTTATTTTAATAAAGGTGTTTCTGTGAAATGGAAATGGGTCTATAACTATTGTTGCAACTAAACAATTTAAAAAATTTAATCATTCTGATTATAAATAAGTAGGCCAATTAAATGCTGTCATTATTCTAGTGATCATTTTATGCATCATTTTTATCCTTCGAAGATGTTAATCTTGGTCTATACCCTCCTCAGATCATTATGAGAAAGCTTGTGAACATCTTCCACAATACGAGGAGCTGTCTGATGTGATAACAGCCAGTGAGAGTGAACTTGGAAGGGGAGAAAAAAATGAAATCATGTGATTCCAGTGATTGCCAGTGAAGATGAAAGTTGGAGGTCAAATCGGCTGGAAGATGACATTGCTGATGTAGCAGCTATGCCAATGAGTGCAAAACCTCCCCAAAAAAGAACAAAGAGAGTCTTAGCCATGACTTACTTGAATCATCAACATAAAGAACATGGACTGCAAATCAAGTGAAAGTCACTTTGCATCTGGCCCAGGTAGGTGCAGTTTTTTGCAATTTGCTACTTTCTTTTTAAAGATTTTAAGACTTTGTCATATGATTCCTCCCTAGGTTCTGGATTCCATGATGGTGAGGTGAAATCAAAACATCTTAAGAAGCAGATTCATGGAAATGTCA